ACCACGTTCTTGGACTCACACACCCCCAACCCCACGCCCTCACCTAAGTGAAATAACATGTAAGTTGCTTTGGAAAGGAGCCACGAGAAACTCTTTTCCAGAAACAGCTGGAAACAAAAACTTTCAACTACTCGCAGACAAGTAACTTCAAAACAGAGGGGGAAAGTCACAACAGAGCAGCTCGTGCCTGCTTTAAGTGCTGCTTGGCAAAGCCAGGAATGGATCATACATTGGGGGGAGGGGGGGGATTTCCAATTTCACTTCAGTTTTTCCAACTTCAGAATCTCATAAAGTTTATTCTAACCAAACATGTGGGGGTTTTTTTCTAGATGCTGAATGGAGAGGGGAAAAAAGTAACAAGCACCTACAGTTTTTGTGCGTGAAGAAGGCAGTCAAATATAAAATCCTGTTGTAAAGTGTCATGGCTGAAGGCCATATTGTGAGGATGCAGGGAACCTTTACCAGTCATCCAAAGGCTAGATAAGATTAAAAAGGAAGGGAAATCAGCAGGAGCTGGTGGAGCACATCTGATGCAACCCGGAGTACTTTTAATTATAATGTCCTCCATAGCAGTTTTATTTGTGATGACTAGTTAGTACACAGGCATTACCTGGAGTTTGAATGATTTCAAGTTTCATATTGTTTTTGATTCAATGCCAGCTAAATTTTAATGCACATCTTATTTATGTATTAATCTAAATTTTATTAAAATTCAAACAAATCCGTTAGTGTATTCTTCAGAGTGCATAGGTGGATCAAACCCCCAAACGTGTGCTGTTATTCTCACATAGTCCGCTGTCATAGTGCTCTGCACACATTCTTTAAAGGAAAAAAACCCAAAAAACAAAGGAAAACTTAAAAGATATAATCAATCCACAAACGAAACTGCGTCATTTTATATAGATATTAGAGAAAGAAAGAAAAAGAATCACAATAGCAGTGCGCTGCGACGCCTTGATAGAGCCATTACAGCCATGACAGCAGGGCCAGGATTTCACTGCGGCGGCTCCAGCAACAGAGCTCAACGTGCAAACACACAATACTGGCCGAGCAAATAACACCAAAAAGACTATATTTCAACATCTGCTGCTCTCTGAATCGCTCCCACATCACAATCTTGCACTACAAGACGATAGTTGTTGGGGGGATTTTTGACGAGAAGGGGCGAAACATAAGAAGCGACTGAAATTTCTCCTACAAACTTTTGAATTGAAGGGGGTGTGTGACTCTTTCTCCACCAAACTAGTTATAACTGAAAATGTTTTACTACGAACATCTCAGCGCCGCGAAATGTTCCTCCCAAGGCCTTTTCATGCAGAGAAATAAAGGTCGGTTGTAGGAAAATGTGACTCTTCGACATTATGATTTCACTGGAAGTCGAAAAACTGCGAATATTTCCCTTTAAATGTGGGAAATTATCATGACAGGCGCGGGTCTTTGCGAACCGTTTCGAAGTAAAGAGCGCCATACGTGATGTATCCCTGTGAAAAGCGAGCAGCTCGGCTTGTACGCAAGCAATACGGCCTGAAACGACAACAGGCCATAAAACACAGCGGGTATCATCCAGCCGTGGATTCACAGCTCGTAGCTTACCTGTTAATGTAATCTTATCGCGCCGAAACGCTACAAAAGAAGGAAAAGTGCTCCGGCCAGCGGCTGTGTTTCTTTCCGTCCTTCAGAAGTGATCGTGTGCTTTTCGCAATAGCACCAAGCTAACTAAAATGTCCACGGCGCTAGGACTTCCGGGTCTGGCTTTCACAATAAAAGTCATGACGACAAACTTACGTGTCAGGCGTAAAAAAAAAAACAGCAAAACTGTTTTTTAAAAAGACCTAATTGAAATGGCTTTAATTTTGAAGTGTATCTTTCCTAAAAGCAGAGCAGAACAATGGCCGGGCATGCAGGTTTAGTAAAAGCTAGTACTGATTTTAATTTAAATATAAGTTGTTGCTGTTGTTATAGCTAAAATCAGCCCATGTTATCACGTTTTGGGGATTTTTGTCTTAAATTATCAAAAATAAATGTCTCTTCTAAGAAAAAATCCATTTGATTTAATTTATTTTCTTTCATGTTGCTACAAAGATAAGTGTGTCTAAACCTTGTACGTTATCACATTTTTATCACATATCATCGGGGCACATGAGACCATCAAAGAAGGACTTGTAAATAAATGCCATTTACACTGTGTAATGTAATTACAGATGGATCTAAGTTTGGTCCCCGTGACACACATTAAATGATAGATAGATAGATAGATAGATAGATAGATAGATAGATAGATAGATAGATAGATAGATAGATAGATAGATAGATGAAATAATTAATAGAATTTATAAACTATAAAAAACTGACCTAAAACTAAAATAACACTTTATAATAAACTAAAAAACACATAGTAATAAAAACACATACATAAACTGATAAAGTGCAAAGGAGAACTTACGACACTGAGTGTATGAACCTCAGTTTATGGGCTGGTGGAAGGGGTCTCTCATGATGTCCATTGCATGATTCTGTATCTGTTGATATAAATATCCCTTAAACAATTGAAGCTGCTGTTGTTGCGCCGACTTCTTGTCACCTCAGAGAAGTTGCTATACCAAATAATTTTTGAAGATGTCAGGATACTCTCCACCACACAATGCTGAAAGGAAGTCAGCACAGCTGCACCAAGGCCAAGCATGTATCCACCTCCTCATCATACAAAACAGTTGTCTTAATAATACTGTCTGTTTTGTGGCCCGTTTGAGGTTGCTGGGTATATGCAGAGTCAGGTATTTGACTACGGTCACCACAGCTTTTCCTCTAATGAGGAGGGATTGAAGGATGTGAGGTCTCCTCCTACCACCACAATCTCTTTTATCTTCCCCAAATTTCCCACAAATTGTTTGCATCACACCAGCCAACAAGTTCTTCCACGTCTCTCCTCTACATTGACTCATCATTAATTGCAACAGCTGCATCATCTGTAAAAGTCACAATATGATTGCCCGGATATTTTGCTGAGCAATCACGTGTGAGTAGTGTGCACAGTAAGGGGCTCAATACAAGCTCAATCACAGCTGAGCTTTTAGGCACTGGGACAATAATGGACCTCTAAGGCACCACAGTCTGGGATATGTTAAAAAAAAATGCATGTCAACACCATGGTGGGGCCCTGAGTAGGAAAAGTTTAAACCAGTGATGTCAAACTTATTTTATGTTATGAGACACGTGCATCCTACTTTGATCTTAAGCTGGGCGGTCCTGTAAAACTCCCCTTTCAGTCACTCTAAAGAAATGTAACTTGCATTTAAACCCTGAGATATCTTAATATAAAAAAGTACAATTTCAAGAGAATGCCTCAGTTTTTTTACAAGACCTGAACGGTAATAAACAAAATAATGAAGTAATAAATGTGTAAAATTACAGAAAAAGTTCTAGAAAAAATCCCAGAAATTTCCACAGTATTTCATTTAATTATTTACATATTACTTTATTATTTTAGTGTGATATGAATGTCAAGGACACCCTTATCAGTAGGAAAAGTAAAACTTATGAAATTACAGTTGCAAGGTCTAAATTTATGCCCTTCATTTACTGTTTTCAAAGCCATCCAGTGTGCTGAATTTGGAGTCTTTGCCAGCTCAATTCTGGATCCCCTCATGTTTGACACCTGTGGTTTAAACTATTCTAGAAACATACAGCATTGTGCAAAAGTCTTGAGGTGCCTCTCAGTTCTTTGTATTTTGCTTCCAAGGAGCCAGACTTTCTTTTAGTAATAGTTTTGCATGCTTTCATCTTTCTCTTTCAGCTAATTCCTTTATGGATCTCTTCCATTATCCCACCCTATACCTAGAATCCACCTCTCTCACTCCAACCATCTTTCCTTTTTCTCTCTCTCCTCTGTTCGTGTGTGTGGGTTCCTGCCTGTGTTCCAGAGGTGGAGTGTTTCCTGGGTGTCGGCCCTCATTGCCCACACTCCTGAAATTCGAAAGCAGTTGTGTTGATTATTACCTGGACTATTAATCTAGTCATGAATTGGCCTCCGCAAAGCCTGGACGTCAACATTATTATTATATAACATTACTAAGACAATGTGGGATCACCCTGGCAGACAATGGAGCAAAACACAGCCACCCTCCGAAGAAGAGCTTTGAAGGTGAAGTGTCCATATGTTCCCTTAAATGACATTCAAAGTTTCACTAATTTCTATGCAAGTAAAAAGCTTTTATGCAGGGTTTGTTAATGTAGTGTGGTTATTATCACAAATTTGGACAACATGTAGTTGGAGAATACAGAGGAGAGTCAACCCATTATGCCTGTCATCCGTTATTAAGTGATGGTAAGTGGACATACATTAAAGAAAGAGTCAAAGGAGCTTGCAAAGAAAAGCGTCTGGACTTCTTTAAGTTAAGTCCACACGCTTTTCTTTGCAAGCTCCTTTGACTACGATGACCTGGATGACTGAGAACCTTCACAGACATTAAAGAAAGACTTTGGTAACTATTCACGTTGAAGAACTTTTTGTGGTCCATATGTGTTCTAGAAATTGCTTGCTTTGATAATATCTAGTAAAATGTGTTTTACAGATGTTGCTATTGGATACTGAATTTTCTTGTGACTCAACAAAGAAATCACTAAAAGGCGATTAGAAACAAATTTCCCAGAGGAACCTACCCGAGGGATTAATAAAGTTCTATAAAGATGAAAGAAAAAAAACAACTAATCCTGTTTCTTATTCTGGCCGATTTTTACAACGTTTAGATTTCATAACCACAGATAAAACACGAACTATTTCTCAACTAATGGCTTATATCTTCCCGAGAATTTAGATGCACTTGATTTCTATTAACGGGCTGTCCGGTAGAGTGGCCTCCCTTCAAGTCTGCAACATACTCCCCCTCATTAGTATGTAACTTTGTGAAACATGCGCACCCGTAGCGGGGCAGTGGGCGTGCCCACATCACGCAAAAGTGATAGGATAAAATTGGTGTCAGTCATATTACATAGCAAAACATGACCGCCCATTGTCCCCGGGATGAGAAGAGGACGGGTGTTTCGGCAGAAAAGAACAGGGAAATGAAGTTGACAGACGGGCAAGCCCAGCAGCAAGTCACTCTGTAATAACTAGGAAGCTAGCAAGTTCGATGACAGGGGTCACTAGAAGTGAAATTTACGTCAAATATCACTGCTATGAATGTCTCTAGTTTGAGGAAGTTGTAGCTACAGTTAGGGGACGTTAGGTAGCTACAGCTGTCAGACAACGTTACAGACTTTTTCAAAGTAACGTTACAGTGGATATTGAAAGTGGAGACGACTCGCTAGCCCGCTAGCTCACCTTTGGTCACCGAGCGTCTTTGAAGTTCAAAGCTACCCTTCATTCGGTGAGTGTACACAGCCTGAAGTAAATATTTCAGCAGGGTGTTTTGTGCGTGTGTGCTTCCCCACAACCGTCGTTCTCTAACTGCGTCCTGTTGGTAGTTGCCTTGTTTCTAGCTATAGCTAACTAGGTCACAAGCTAGCTCAACTTTTCCGATGAGCATGCTGCAACGTTGACATTTTGACGTCCTGTTCTCCGTTACATCCTTGTTTTGGTTTGAAAGCTTGCCTTCTACTGTTCAGCTGACCCCGCTTAGTTTGAAAGTGGACTAATATAGACTAATATAATGAATCCACCCTAAACTCAACGTAAGAAACGTTAAGTACGAAAAGTTGTTAGCCTTTTTTCGACTAACGTGAAGTAGCGTTGTGAGTTACTTTAAACTTTAGTCTCTTCCTTATGAGCTTCTGTCTTTAGCCAAACGCCATAACTCACTCATGTGTAGCTCATCAGATGAAGGTTTTTTTTGTTGTTTTTTGTTTTTTTGTTAGCGATTTCCTGATGCAAAGAGGTACAGGAAGTCGAATAGGTTTATTTGCACAATTTTAAAAACCCGTGTTATGTTTCATCAGAGATCTGGTCTTGGATTACCTGTCTTCAGCCATGCCTTTTCCTTTTGGAAAGTCTCAGAAGAACCCAGCTGAGATAGTGAAGAGTCTGAAGGACCATGTTGCATACATGGAAAAGCTGGATGCTGGTGACAGCAAGAAGTGTGAAAAGGTCAGCTGTGGATTTCTCTTAGGATGGCATGAATGTTAAAACTTACAGTAACGCTGAGCAGCAGCTGATCATACTCTTTTACCCCCTCATGTTATTAAGGTTGCAGAGGAGGTGTCTAAAAATCTTGCCTCACTGAAGGAAGTACTTTGTGGAACAGGTGACAAGGAGCCCCAAACTGAAGCAGTGGCTCAGCTTGCACAGGAGCTGTACAACACCAACCTTCTAATTTCTCTCATTGCAAACCTACAGAAGATTGATTTTGAGGTAGGAGAAAAAATGCCTTCTTTCTGCACTGACTTTATGAGTTTAAAGTATTGATTGCTTGGTGCACACATTGAATGATCAGTGGGAGTGCGTGTTTGCATGCCTGATTTGAACGTTTATGCCCAAAGCAAAAAAAAAACCAAAACCCTGTGTATATCAGCACCCAGTCTGAGTGGTTGTTACTGTGCAGGGGAAGAAGGATGTGGTCCATTTGTTCAGCAATATTGTGAGACGTCAGATTGGCACCCGCACGCCCACGGTAGAATACATTTCTACACACCCACAGATCCTCTTCATGCTTCTCAAAGGGTAAGTTCATATTTTCAGTCTACAGAAACTCAGTGTTTGGTCATTTGATGTTCAATCTGACTGCTCTTTGTCCATTTACATGCATTAACAACAGATCCACCCTTAGAGCCTCATAAACAAACAAACAAATCCTTAGCATGAAATAAAAAGCATTTGGTTTTTGCTTTTTAGGTACAAATACCTTCCTTTAACATGCCTTGCAGTCTTCTGCATTAGCCAGTATGAGTTTCAACAACTCCCAAAGGAACAAGCATGAACTTGCTCACATGTGGGCTACACATGTAGATGATGGATAAAGCAAAAAGTACAGTGCTAGTTTTACAGCTCTGAAAAACTGAGTCATCCTGCTCACTCACTCAGAGACCAGCTGCATGCTCCGGCTGCTGTTTGGAGGATCGAATGCCATCTTATCCGGTTGAATGTCACAACTATAAAGAGGAAGATTGGTTTGTTTATGAGAGGCAGACATCAAAACCTGACATTTAACGTTGATGTCTCGGTTTTTTACACTGCTAATGAACTCCCTTGTTGTGCGTGGGGAAATTGTGTACTTTTTTGCACAGGAAAAAAATACCTCTCTGTGGAAAATGAGATCTAGAAATGTCACGTTCAACCCAAAATTATACCAAACAACTTCATTGATCCCACTAGGAGCGATTTGTTGTACACAAAACACAGGAACATTCATACAAACGGATGGGCAATAATGTGGAAGGAGATGGATTAAAATAGAAATATATATGAATAAAAAAAATACTAATAGAATATAAACCACACAGAGCATTTTGTACTATGATTGCAGAGGGAAAGATTGTCCAAAGAGGTAAAACATTACGACACCCTGATGGCTGCAGAGGCAGCTCACTTACAAGACCACATTCAGCCAAAACACTTCCTGTTTTCATAAAAAAAAATCTTTTTTTTGGTTCACTGTTGAGCTTGTGAACAACTCTTATTAATAATGCTGTTCAGGCTGCTTCTACTATTTACCATTAAACCAATAGATAAAAGGAAAAAACTGTGTAGACTCACAAAAAGTGGACAGTGGGTAACAAGACTGGCAAAAAAAAA